TTTTGTTTTGGGTACACATTACCTCTTTACCAGGTAAATCAGTAGGCATTTTAGTGTTCAGTCCGTCATGATTAGTCCGTATTTGAACGCGTCGCGTAAGTCTTCTGCGAGTGCTGTGTAGTTATTCGCCGTGTAGCATCGAGAATATGGGTTTTGGTCTTCAATCACGCAGTCCGTCACACCAGGTATAGATTATAATAATATTATATATTTGTATAATGTATATGTATACAATTATAAGCCGGCATCACATTTTTTCCGTTATTCTGTGTGTTCGCGTGTTGGGGCAGTGATCGAAAATTGAAAAACGAGAAAACGCGGTGCCCGTTATTCGTTAATATTCAAATTTCAAACTATACAGTTGGCACAATCGTGTAATAGAAAATAATTATTTTCAAAAACACACTTAACCAACTGCAGAGATGTGTCGAATAAAATCATTTAATTAACTCACTAGTAGTTAAAGAATAATCAATGCTTTATTAGGCTGTACCTATAATATAGCAGTCGAATAATGTCGATCGCGTTCTACCGGTAAATATTTAATCCAATAAAGGTCGATCGCAATAAAATATTATGAATGTAGTGTATGAGTTAATTGAGTTTATAATCTAGAAACTAGATTCTAGGTACAAATGAAAAAAAAAACAAATTGATAAAAATTGATACAATTTGATCAACGGTTATTTTTTACATATCACCTACAATGTCCCTTCGACTATATTTTCAGTGAAGTAGTACATTTGTTTAAATATAAAATTATTATTTTTTGTCAAATGTCTAATTTCGTCAAAATAAATTTCCAACAATTCCCATAAATATAAAACGTTTTAGATGTATATTTTTGATTATTGACTTTTTGAAACAATACAAAATACTGTTTATGCGTACCTCAGTACCACCGGGATATTTTCAATTATCATTCGATTGTCGTCGTTTATTATATTATTTATTAGGTTTATTAGGTACAAAAAATGCACTGTTATAAATATAAAACAATAGTACATTAAGTTCGAACAATAGAAATTTCAAACTTTAAGTGTACCTCACTAGTTGAAAAAGTTTGAGGACCCTTGCTTTATAGGAATATCTAGACTAGAAGATATAGCTGTACACTTATAAACTGCCGTGTGACGCATCATCTCGCCATTCTGCTATAATAACATTTTGACGGGACTATATTAATATTATGAATTTTAGGATGGTAAATAAAACAAGAACTAATGTTTGCTTGTAAAATAAATTTTGCGAAATCATCCGATCTTTGGTCCATGGTTTTGCGTTTGTTTTTGTAGAATATCGCTCTAAACTACACATGTAGGTAATAGGATATATTTTAAATTCAACAATGAACTCCACTACTGTGGCATTATATTATAATATTATAATGCTTATTAAGTTTACCTACGGTTATATGTATAGCTGTATAGGCGTATAGATACTGCAGATATACGTTTAGATAGCAAAATAATTTAAGCTAAACATTAGGGGTTGCAAAACAATAGTCAGATTACTATTATTATTTTAATCGTTGCAATATAATTTTGAATTTAACTTTTAGCGAACTTTAGTTACATTTTTTACACTATATAGCTAATAATGTTGACTTTATTGATGCATTTTTCCTGAAAAATGTTTATATACTTGGTATAATAATATTGCATCATCCATATTTTATTATGACTTATGTATAGGGAAGTGTTAATGATAATTAATAACATGGGCTAACATTAAATACAAAATATAAAATAAATTCTTGTAAAAAAATAGATATTTGACAGTTTAAGTATTTTTAGATTATCAGAAGAGAAATATATTTGTCCTTAAATAATGTGTTTTTTCGAACCATTTTGATTTATATTTTGTAATTTTTTAAAGTTTAAACAGTTAGATGTGAGTAGGTAATTGAGTTTTATATTTTTGCATAATTTACCTATAACTCCACTCAACTAGGAGTATAGGACCACTAAAAATGGTTGGATTAAATTCTATGTATATATTATATGGCAAATACATTTGTTATTACTTGTGACTTACTTTTTTTGAAATTTAATTAATAATTATTTGCTGAAATAGTGCTTTTTGTCAATAGTCCAATAAAATTGTATAGATGTAAAGTAGGAATAACTAAAATAGCTTGTATTTATCAGACACCCCTAAGGCCATAGACGCACTTTTTATTATATATATTTCTTAAACATTTAAGTGTGTTTTGACGAGTATAGGAATATATTATATATAATAGAATACAAATACAAAAATAACAATACACCAACGAATAAATAGAGTTGATTTTTTTGTCCAAACCCTATTTTTCTATATGCACATACAATTGAAGTTTAAATTAAATTCGTTTCAATAATATAAACAAAATAACTTTCTGTTGTTATATACAAACTGTCTAGCAATGCAATATTTTCTTGTAAGTCTGAAGGGTGTAAGTTCCATATGATGATAGCTTACATTGCCTATAAAGTAATGTTATAAAATTCGAGTAAAAACAAAGTTTAAAAAAATTTGTCTCCTAATAGTAGTTTTTTTTTACTGTGTAAACTCTTTTTATGTTCTTCTATTCAAATATTTTATAAACATTTATCAGTCAATTTTTTTTAGGACAAACATTACAAATATTCTGTGCGTATAGTCTAATAATGTTTTATATATAATTTAGAATAAACTATTTTTTTTCAGAATATTTTATTTAAACTAGAATGCTGGATACTAGGTAGGTTTTTAGGAACATTTTTAAATCATCTATTACTATAGATTAGTTGATTAAATTATTTCAAAAATAGTTTTCTGGATTTTTATTGTATGGTGACAAAATAACGTTAATATTTATTTTTCATATATTTTTTGAATAATTATGTAAATAAAGGATAAGTACTTTTTACTTTTAAAGTAAATAAGTTTATGAAAACTTAATTTTATTATAATATTTTGGTTTAAAGAGTATTAATTAATTTTCTCTGATATGAATATTATTAAATTTGTTCTTCATATTTCCTATTATTTTATCCAGAAAACTGAATAGTACCGAAGGAGCACCGAAGTACTGTCCTTATTTAATTTATATGAAATTAAATTAAACCGCGCTAACTCGTTGAAATAAATGGCAATCATTTTATCAATAGTTTTATAAAATAAAATAAAATAAAAACAACTGTACACAATATTATAATTTAATAATTTAGTACATAATCTCAATCCATTGATCACCCAATTAAACTATATTATTTACAATATTTAAGATTAGATTGAACTACTTGATGGAGATAAGTTTCTTTCATAAACTTGATGATTTGTATCTTGACTGCTTATGTCGGAGGTGCTAAAGTTTCTTGTCGAGTTTTTAGAAATTAATGTTTGGGCCATGAATTGGGTATATTTTTAGTATGCGGAAAGTATGTATGTGACTCAGATAGTTAGATGGGTGTACCATGATTTCTTGTGTGGGGAGGGTGTTCAACCTACACAACCTGTATACGAATATTGTGGCTATCTGTAATTATTTATATTTGTCATAAAAAATATATAATATTGATTAAGACTTAAGCAGAGGTCATCGCTATATTTGTATTTTCTCTCTGAACCACACGCAACATATATATACACAATAGAACCGATTTTGTGTTGTTAGATATAATAATATAGTGAATTGACCTATTGTTTTAATATATTAAGACTTATTAAGAACATTACCTGTATTTTTATTTTTTCAAGATATTTTAGAGTTTGTGCTAGTTATGATGAGTGAGTGATCTATCTTAGTTTATTATTTTCAAAATTCATTCATAGGTTTTGTAGTTATTTAAGAATGTGATTAGATTTATTGTAATAAGAGGCTAAGTATTTATTATTTACCCTAAAATGATAATTAGAACTTTCGATTTTGATATAAAAATGTTATTGATTATGGACTTGTCAAGTTATTTTTTTTTCCACTGACAACTCGAATTCCATGTTTTATTTACAAGATTTTATCAATCTTAGACATCGTGTCGAATGGACGAAAATATGTTCAAATTTTGATCTAAAACTATTTCGGTATGTTTTTTACGCGTAATAATAAACGGACATTCGGAGTGATGAAAAATAAATTGTTATGAGCTTTCGAAAATCGGCTGGAATAAAAAAAAAAAAAAAAATAAACTCATCTTTCATCGGACTTGTCGTTTGCGCCGATATTATTATTATACCGCAGTGCACAGTACAATAATAAATGTTGATGTACATCACGTGACGTTTTTTATTTTTTCTTAGTCGAAGCTTCAACATCCTATAGGGGTTATCGAATGCGGCGCGGACAATAGTAATAATCAGACAGAAAAATATCGCGGCGTATATTATATACTGTAAATTGTAATATTACATATTTAGCAGTTCGCACACAGTGAGGTCAGTGCGTGTGCATATTATGCTTACACATAGCCGAACGCGGATCCACAGGCAGCACCCCCGCATCCCTCCCCTGTCGGACGCGATGACGAAGTGGGATTTGGTGGTGTGGGAGGGGGGGGATAGGTAAAGGCGGCGGCGGTGGCAGGTAAGACGATATGGTTTATGGAATAGCGGCGTCGGAGGTGGATGCGGAGGGCGCGCGCGCCTGTGCGTGTTGCGTGTCCGGCGGGCGAGCGGTTCGTCGCCGTGGCCGCCGCCGCCGCCGTGGCCGTCGTCGTCGTCGTCGTCGTCGTCGTCGGTGGCGGTAGCGGCGGTGGTGGCGACGGCCGAGGTGGCGCCGCATCGCGCGCGTATACCATTATACGTGTACGAATCGATAGGGACACCGCGGTGGAGACGGACGCGGCGGCGGCAGAGCGTTCGTAGCGCCTCGTTGGTCGTCCGCGCGGTCGCGCCACCGTAGCACCGGCCACTATAGCGCGCCGGAATCGCGCCGAGCGTCGTCACGCCGTCGCCGAGCACCGATTTCGCGCGGACCACCGACACGCACACAAACGCGCATGCTCCCGCTCAAGCACATTTATTATACTCATAATACACCGTCGTAAACACATACACGCGCGCACACTTGCACATACACACGCACACACTCGCACGGAGACGCGCGTGCGCTCATTTACGCGAAGCGCCGGTGTCGCCGCCGCCACCGCCGCCGTTGTCGTAGCACCACCGCTGCCGGTCACTGGTACCGTTGCTGTCGATGTCAGTCCACCACGAGACCACGACACGCATTTGTCTTGCGTCACACAACTTGCACGTCTTTTCACTCTGTCCAAAAAAAAATTTACTTACACAAAATCTTAAATAAAAAAAAAAATCACACACACACACACACACACACATATATATTTTCATACATATATATTATATACTTAGAGACGTGTATACCTATATACATATATGTGTGTATGTAGTATGTATGTATGAATTTTTATACATGTGACATGTTATAATATTATTATATTGTCGTAATATAATATTATAATCTCTGAATTCCGACACGTTGCCCGTCGGACGAAATATTATTAATCGACCGTTATCGGATGAGACCACGCGACGACAACAAGTCGTTCGTACTCTGAGCGGTTAAGACATAAAATATAACATAATATTAACAACAAAAATATAATACACAAAAACTCGCTATCATCGTATTCAGTTATTATCACACTTTTACCTTGTGAGACAACGACGACAACGACGAGACAACGGACAAAATTTTTGCCGGTATCGGCGTCGAAGGGGGCTTTTGACGGGCCGTCCACCAGCGGCAACGCAACGTACGTATTCCGCACTGGCAGAATACACACGTGTTGGCACGTTTCCACGCTTTACACGTAAGTCGTTTACACTTTTTATGTACATTTATGTTGTTGTTGCAGTGGTTGTTGTTGTTGTTGTTGATATAATTATATGGATATAATATTGTATCGAATACCGATATGTTTACAAAATTATTTTGATGAGGTCACCAGAGCGATGTTTTTTTCATTCATTTGAAACGACATTCATCATTCTGTTGCTTTTATTACTATTACATTTTCATCTGATTTTTACGTACACAGCTGACCCAAAAATATGTATTCATTTAATAAACTCTAGAAATTGTTCTTGCCAAGTTTATGACTGTTTTACTTTTTTATGTAATACAATTATCAAAACTTCTTGGATGGTCGTCAGTAAATCAAATTAATTCCGTCGCTAAAAATCATTCCGGTGTACATATTCAATTTCTTATATCGTTTTTTGTTTGTTAAAAATTCTTATGAATCTGTTGGTGTTAATGCGGTGGCAATAGTAAATTTGTAGTAGGTCTTAAATGGTTTTCAAAATATCTCTCTTAAAATCATCTATTAATTGTTGTATCATTACAAGATTTTAAAATACTACATTTGAGATTAGTTGGTGTACATAAATAGTGAAAATAATATTGTAATTATTCTGCCAAATTATACTTAATTATTATTGATATAATAAAATGCATAAAGTTATAAATTAATCAACCATCTCTTATAACGTGCTTAACATAATAATATTTAACTTATTGTGTATTACATTGTACGTGATATTTATTATTAGATTACGGTATTAATTGTTTTATTAGATGTTGTTAGTAGGTGAGGTATCATAATTTAAATTTCATTTTTAAGCCTATTTTATTCTGAAAGAAAAATGTAATACTTATAATGACTGATTTCAACCTGATCAGATTTTTCTCTGGGTTTTTTGTTTGCTTTGAGAAATGAAAATTATCACATAACAGAGTTTAAATTACTATTATGATTAATACAATTATAGTTGTTTATCATTTTTGAAAATGTTAAATAAAAATTACATGTTGTATTAAGAAATATTTCACGGAAAGCAAAGTAATATCTATTTATTTTTTATTTTATAAAAATGTTAAGCGCGTAAGAAAATAAATAAATATAATATCATCTATTTGGTCTGTTTGATGTACCTTGATTGGATATAGATGACAACAATTTGTAAATGTGGTGGACTCTTCTCTTTTTATATTAATTCTTAGAGCGTCAGTTGTGTGTAACTCTTCTAACGCTACTTGACCTCTTTCCAAAGCTACGTGCTTCGTAAGTAAGGCTTCGTTTGATCGACGTTGTTAAGGCGATGAGTTTGTATTGCATACTCTTCACTCTATACTATATGAACGAGTTTTTTCACTGAGCCTTGCTGTGTCCCTATTATTTAACTTAATCACCTTTGCTATTTATCAGAGGGTTTTAGCCTATAGACTATTGTGCTCAAATGAATCCTTACATAGAACAGCTTATGAACGATTACTTGCATTATGTCAAAAGATAATTGGGTCAACACGGTTTTATTGTGTCGAAAAATGATAAAGACATTTTTAGGAATTGAAAAGAAAATTGGATATGCAGCAAAGAAAATTTCAAAAAAATTAAAGTGTTGAATAGGTTAGGTTATGTTGTATACTTTTAAAAGTATACTTGTAGTATAGAACTATGTATCTAGTGTATATAATTTAGTTGTTTACTAAATGATGTCAATTCCAAAAAGTAAACAGATATATAAATATGGTAACATGGTAATATTTTGTATGGGTTAATACAAATAACTTAATAGATTTCATATTGACATTACTCTATAGCAGTTTTTTTCACAGTAATTTTCCAAGCAGTTACGGAGTGCACGCAGGAGATAACTGGTGGGGTGGTGTTTTTTATGCACGGAATTTCCGGCGGATCCGGAAAAATCAAATTCCCCCTAGTTATATGGGACATGTATACTGTATACCAGAGTTAAAAACCATTACTTCCGGAAGTCTAAATTCGTGAAAATGTGATTCAGAAATTAAGCTAATTCATGGATGTTAATCATTAGTTATTTTACGGGTGTAAAAATCAGTCCTTAATATTGTATTCATATAAAATCTTCCCATATTTTTAACAAAGAATGTTCTACAAACAGTGACAGTTTTGTCAATAAGTCACTTAGAACATAGAAAAACAGATATACGAGTACATGACCGTCACTCATTGCATTTTAGATAGGTAGGTAATGAGCTAATTACTATAAAATTAATAATATGATATTATGGCATTATTCAACATTATTTTTTATAACTATTTCTCCTGAATTTCTTGTGAGCTTCATTCATCGACCTTAATTTATGTGACTCAGTATATTTGCGTTCTAACAATACAGCTGACGAACATCAAAAAGTGGCTAGAAATGAGTGTTAAATATCAAATGTATTCCTAACAACTATACAAAAGCATAGGTTATGAGTTGTCTACAAATTAAGCTTTTATGTAGGATACCTTTTAAGTTATTGAAGTATGTCAATATGTCATATTAAAATCAATGGAGTGTATCACTTTGAATACGGTCAGCTAGAATAATATAAGTATGCGAGTACTGAGTATGGACTATTGTAATATACACATTTATATATATTTATAAAACATAGGTACAGGACCTTACGCAGACATATCAAAAATAATCTCATTTGTCAAAAAAATTGAAATGTACAACTTAATTTAATTTAATTTTTATAATTTATTTTCATTATGTATTTTTATATTTTCTCTTTTTCCCCTTAATCACTATTGTACCACTGTAAAAACCCCCTTATGTACATAACCATATAATCTTGTAAGCTAATAACCATGATGTTGATGCTGTAACAATAAAAAAAAAAAAAAAAAACATAGGTACCTTAAATTTGTATACTCTAATTACTGACTTATAATATTATTGTTAGTCATAAATTCATATTATAAATTACAAATATTTGAATGCACGGATGCAATATTATTATAGTTTAGAATGTATAAAAAGGGTTTCGTATTAATTTAATAATATATATCAAATATTACGGTTATGATTTATTATTTAACTCCTTGTATTATTATGGCATTGATATTTTCTGTGGATTAAAGGCTCTTGTAAGCCATTGCTGAAGTACGTTAATCTAATAAACTATAAACCCAATAATATCAAAAAATAAATCTTGATTTATCTATATTGTTACCCGTGTGATGTTGTGTAACACAGAGTTGAACATTTTTACGGTGGTACTAAAAGTAATCCTGGTATACTCGAACATCACGAATGATTTCGGGGAAAGACGCTGAGAATTTTACTGTGTACAATTTTGAAGCTAAATTGTATTTTGTCGTCGTTTCTATAACTACTACATGGTACTTTTATCTTTTACAAGATATATTAACACAAAACTATTTTATATACATCAAATTTTTTCTTTTGAAAAACTAATTTCAATAGTAATAACTATATTTTTATTACTGTTTCTAGTCTAATTCAATACAATACTGAAAACACAATCTGTTGTTATTTTATAAATTACTTAACTCTTTTATCATAGGCTCAACGTATTCAAGGGTTTTAGATTGTTGTTTATTAAATTAACACTTAAATAAACTAAAAATTAGTTCGAAACTAGAAAAAATATTCCATTACTACTGCTTGATGACTTTATAAATTGTATATGATTACTTACTCATATTTGTCTGGGTATAACTGATAATATAGGTATATAAGATTCATAACCATCTCTTTACACCATTTATAAATATCAATATGAATGACCCATATCAGCTGAAAATTAAAATGTAGATTTATGTGATTTATTTATTTAAATATTTAATATTATTGCATTTGTATATTTCGTTCATCGTTTATAAAAATTAAAATAAGGAAAAAAAAGATATTTTGTGATTTAATCCAGCGAAGATGCATAACCTTTTTCTCATATTTTCTATTACATAGGTACTTGTTTTGGTTGTATATGTGTTGATTTTTATAGTATGTACCTACCTACTTAATAGTTTATTAAAATTATTTCATTTCATGACATTATATAATTGAAAGTATTGAAATTTTATTTCCATAAGAATTACTTGAATAAATTGTGCATCAGGTGTTGCATTGCTATTAATGACATTTTTTTTTGTCGAATAGGTATCAAGCAGTTAGACTTAGTAATGTGATTAGTACTTGGTTACCTGTTAACTGCGCAGTACCACAAGGGACAGTCTTAGGGCCATTACTCTGTATTATTTATTCTAATAGTCCACTAAAATGAAATGTATGTGCTAAAATTATTAGGTTTGCTCGTGATACAGTTATACTGGTCAGTAACAAAACGATCGTTGATTTATATGACTCTAAAAATGACTAAAAATTGTTAAAAATTGGTTTGATAACAATTGCTTAGAATTAAAGTCTAGTAAATCAAATTACATTTTCTTTGAAATTTATGATAGATTTAAAAATCTAGAGGCATTATTTATGCATAAGTACCATAAATTGTGTTTATGATAAAATGTTAAATGTAAATTCGACTAAATACTTAGGAATCATTTTTGATCAGCACCTCAGATCAAAAATGATTGATTACGTAACTAACACAATAAGAAAGTTTTTTTACCGATTTAAAACACTAAGAGAAATTCTCAACATAAATTATTTACCATTAGTATATACTTATTTAGTACAATCTATATTATGTTATGGTTAAGTAGTATGGGGTAATTCTGCTGATGAGTATATGCATAGACTTAATGTTACAATAAATTCATTATTGAGATTTCTATTAAAAAAACCATATAGTTATCATGTTTCGGATTTATATGAGGAATTAAATGTCAAAAATATAACTAGTTCATATATTTATAGCGTTCTTTCATATTGTTTTGGTAAAAATATTGATGCTTATAAATCCTAATATCACTATCATACAAGATTATGGCTTGGAGTAAACCTTAATACATCGGTTAATAAGAAATTGTTTGGTGAAAAAAATAATTTATGTAGGTACATATATCAGTCT